AATCTCCTTTCAAATGTCCTTGTAATTGTTCTTTTAAATGTCTTTTTCAAAGGCTGCGCATGTAATGTTTCATGACATGCGGATGCTTGAGAGAGATCTAGATAGCTATACCCGAAACTATTTCTACGCTTAAAAATCAAAAGCAGGAGGGGGTGCGGGGGAGGGCGCAGCGCCTCCCCCGCAATGCAAACTAGTACCAACAGCAGTCTGACCGGTTCGTAAACAAATGTCACGGACTTTCCCCAATGAGTCAGTCTTCCTTTGATAACTGCAATGGGGTATCTGGGCAAAGTTTTCCAACTGCCTTCCTTCCTTCCTTCCTTCCTTCCCTCCCTCCCTCCCTCCCTCCCTCCTTCCTTCTTCCCTGCCTTCCTGCCTTCCTTCCTTCCTTCCTCCCGCCAGCTAAGCCTTTAAAAAATGAATAGCAAAAATATGTCCCACTAACGCCACTAAAATATACCCCCCATTCTGAAGTCCACTAGGAAGTTCATTGGACGGTCGGATGTCGAAAGACATCCTAGGTTAGAAGACAAGCAAACAAGAGAACGCTTCGATGCGATTGTAATGTTTCTTAATGATTTGTCAAGCAGCAAAGGGAACATGTGTTCAACGTCAGTGGTCTCCAATTTCTCCAATTCCGTTCGAGTCCGGTTTGAAGGGGCTTTCTGGCGATGTTGTGTCCACAAGAGACACGGTCTTGAAGTGCCAAGTAGCTTCGGATGATCTTTCCAACTGAAGCCCCAAAGTTCTTGTCCTGAGTAAATGATGATGGCCATATCGTTTGACCGGCCGATCATCTACTTTCTAGTCTGGCCTGAATCACTTTCTCCGCTTTATCCCAGCCGACAGAGATTTGCAAATCCGCAAGAACATTGACTCAGCTGGTCACTTCTGTTGGTCACGGCATCGAAGCTTAGTGTGCTGCCAAAGCAAACAGAACAACCAGCAGAGTGCTCCCCAAACCCAACCAGCGGTGTTGTACCCCTTGTGCGGGTCATCTATTGCAAGTACAGAAACAAGAAACAATGACCTGTCATTGAACATGCACGTCTCACACCGCACACGTCTTCACACACCCTTCTCGTCACCCTTCTCCACACACCCTTGCAATCCCTTGCACATCTCTAGGACACCGAGCCAGGCGCACGAAGGAGCTCCAAGTGCAATTTGTGAGTCCCACAGCGACCATCCACATCAGCAAGAGCTTTGATCAAACTCTCCTTGGAACTCTGATCCATCACGTGCAGCCAGAATACAGTATTAAGATGTATTAAGATTCAAACATATAAACTGAATGAAGATCTTCCAGGTGTGAAAACCCGAATCAGTTTCCTCCAGACCAAGCACGGCTTTGGCACATCTGCATTCCCTCCACACCATCAGCTGGGGCCGTGAACCAGCCGGCCTTTCCACTGCAAGTACCGCATCAAAAGGAAGGAACACATCTAAGAAAATGTCTGCCCAACAAAATGGAATGAATCCAAGGTGCCACTTGTTCCACATCTCCTTGCTCTGCTGCAAAGCGGAGACTCTGAGCCTGCCAAAACAAGTTCACTGCGGGTGAGGATTGGTCAAAATTGGGACTGTGCCACATGTGGCCAAAGAACTGATGTTGTCCGGGACAAAGGCCGCTGAGCAGGACCCAAATACAATAACACGCTCGGGATTCCGGCCAATTCCAAGGGTCTGCTTTTGAGGCTATGTCACTGTCTGCTTAGAGCTGACCCTGCACTGTCCTCACGACATGGGTTGTGCCTCTCTTACCGATCTTGAAGCACGTAGGTCTTCGGTCCTGTCGAGGGAGAACATTGCATGCAGCTCGTAGAGCAAGAGCAGTTTTTCAAGGCAAACCCCATCGCCCCAGGCCCTGCGTATGAACTGATGTCAATAAAACACATCCAGTCACAAGTGATCTCAATGGTGCAGTTGTTGACAACTCTGAAGGTTTGGTGCTCCTCTTCTGCGGTCCTGTTTCTTTTATTTTTTGCAGCATTATCCTAAACATTCTCAAACATGCTCCCCCTGTTGGCATCAGAAGCCTTTTCAATATGCCTTACACCTTCCACTGACACTATCCACACCATTGGCCAACGACTTGGCCGACGCCGAAAGCGCGAGCCGTGAGCCTTGAGGGCACCTCAGGCACGTCCCAATCGCCACAAGTAATTTTGAGGGCAGGTCAACCGGTGGGTATGTTGAGGTTTTTGGGTGAACCTAATAGCGATGGCCTCCAACCTAATAGTGTTTAACCTACTAGCGATGGCCTCCAACCTAAGAAGCGATCGATCCAGAGTTTATGGTTCCTGGTTCCCTGAATTTGTGCAAGAGTCTGGACTGGAAGCTCAAAACACATGTTGATTCTCCCCCTTGCGACAGGGCCCTTGGACTCAAATCAAGGCAAACAAACGACTCTAGTATCTAAATGAATTTATACTCTAAATGGATATATGTGTGTATATATATAATGTATTTTTGGAAACAACACTGGGGACTGGGGGTTAACTTCTATGAATCTGAGCACTTCTTTTTCTGAGCGTCCAACTCTCTCCACTTCTGGGCACTCATAAGAGACTTGCCGGGACAGCGAACGCATCGCCTCTTCAGGGCGGGGAACGCGAGGTGGATATTGTGATCGTCTCCCAGCATCCAACCTAATAGCAATGGCCTCCAACCTACTAGCGATGGCCTCCTACTGAGCATCCAAGAAGCCTTATATAATGTTCATGCCCTGCAAAAACTGCGGGATAGGTTTCGATCCGTCACCATGGCCATCAAGCAGGAGAGCCGAATCAGCAGTTGCGATTGGTGGACCAGTTGAATCAATCCTGGCGCATGTCGTTGGCTCGCCCACATGCGCTCCGAGCCTTGTCCTCTCCAAAGGTGGTCAACCTGGAGCCACAAAGCGTCTTAAGCCTTAAGCTTTCTGTAGACAAGAACATGACTTAACAACAAAAAGCAACAAATGGATCAAAGGGATTTAAGGAAAGCTCCCCACGACCATGGTCAAACTCCGCCCTGGGAAGCCCGAGCAATTCCAGGATCTCAGGCTGCCCTTTTGCAAGCTCATAGGCCTTGGTCGCTGGCGCTTGGTCGCTTGGTGAATGACCTTGCAGTCCTCCTATGGCCTTTATGGTACGGGGCAAGCTGTGCAGTGCAGCGGTCAAGCTACCGAACACATGTGTATACAACTATAACTACAATTCTAGTTATATATATGTCAAGAAATGTTCCTCAGGCTTGCAGAGCAAAGCAGAGCAAGCAAAGATCGAAAGTGCTTCGCGTAACTAAGAAACAGCAGCTGGACCAAAGTCCTTAAGCTGAAGCACCGTTTCACCATGGGCGCCCAAGGCATATTGATCCCCCTTCGCCATCAAGAGCTGGGAGAGCAGCAGTGCATCACCTGCACGGGGTTGAGAGGACACCTACGAGGGAATCGATGCGTGTACTCAGTGTACTCTTGACCAACTCCTACACATGCTAGCCAAAGGAAAGAGGAACGCCCAGGACCAAAGAAAGAAACTCGTACTCGGAGTGATCATGGCCTACGTCAAGGTTAAGAATCGAATCAAATCTGAAATCTTGTTTGGGAACTGCCAGCGTGAATGAGGGTGGAACAAAATGCGATTGGGAATTTTGTTGAATCGTGCAAGGCATCGCAAAGATCTTCGGGCTGCATGCAATGCTTGCAGCCAATGCTTGCAGCCAATGCTTGCAGCCAAGCTATCTGATACTTCTGCAGCAATAGTATGGTTTAAGAATGCACGGTATGAGAACTAGAGACCTTCAGGCTATGCGGTTGCAAAACAAAGGCAAGCACATAGTAAACCAAAACCAAGAATTCCAGGGTCCTTGCCCTTGTCTGTGACGCACATAAACCACCTTGGGCCTTGCGATTGAACTGGTCTCCCGCTGAGTGCTCAAGTATGCTCAAGTGATCACCCTTGTGGCTCACCCTGTTAGGCTGGAGCCCAGCCAAACCGAAGTGAAACCGAGTACACAGCAATCCCTGTCAACCTGTATCTTTCATGGAGGTGGCCCGTGCAAAACATGAAGGGCCCCAGGGTCCACCAGCAAAATGCTTCAATTCACTGTGCCACTGGAATTTGTTGTCCAACAAACCATGGATAGCTAGATCTGCTCTGATCCCAAGTTGGATATCATGGTTCCTCTCAAAAGCATCAAGAAATTGTAGTTGAAACCTTAGCTTACTCTCATTATGTACGATCATTCTTCAAATGTCTAAGAAGGAGGTAAGTTAGTTGAAAGAAGGCACTCCTGAGTCTCATTGAAAGCAAACCACCAAATGGCCCTAGACCATGTATCTGCATAAATAGCTGGTCAATCTCCCATTGCACTGGTCAAGCTAGTCTAGGTGAAACATGAGGTGATCGTTTGTTCTCATGTGCCCTACAGCATCTAGCTAGCTTTAGAGTTTGTACATCCATGTGAGAAGCAATGTGCATGTTCTGTTTATCGCACCGGCCTTGTCGCACTGCCAAGTGGATGACTGAATCTCCAATCAGTGGATCTCCTACGAAGGCTGATCGCCCAACATGGGGCTAAAAAGGCGGCATTGAGAACCAGGCAAACACGTGCTGTGCAAAAGGCTTCTGCCCGTGAACAAAGCTTGTTCATGGGCCATTTACAGTTTTCTCTCCGTTCTATTGGTTGTTCACGGCTGCCGTTTCTTTGAATGTTCAGTTCACGCTGATATCCTTCAGCTCCAAAAGGTCAACGGCGATCGGTGCCTTGTCGAAACAGAAGATGAACCTTCTTGGCATTCCGCAGGACACTTTGAGCTCCAGCGCCCGCTTGCCCGTTCACATCCACCAGCTCAGCACCTACACACGGCACGCGTCACTGACCTTTGTGCTGTAAAGCATCGTTTTCTGCAAAATCATTTCCAAGTACTTAGCATGTTTCAGCATGTCCAACATGGTCCAACATGTAACATGATTCTTCATTGACCGCACAGCTGGCAAACATGCCCGAAGTGCCTGGTTGGAGAATCTCGCGACCTTGAGCTCTCTGTTCTTCATTCCACCGACCTTGGACATCGCACGAATCCAATGAACATATGCTAAGACTTCTTAACAAGACGCAAACATCAACCGCCTGTCTGTCGTTTTCTAAATTTTCTGGATTTCATGTCTGAAGACTGTCAGCTGTTCCAACTTGAGGTTCCGTTCATTTAATTTAATCATCACTACAATCATCAAGGAGAAAATTCACCACAGTTCTCCTTCCAATCCTGCAAAATACATCCCATGCGTTCGCATGCTGAAAGCCGATGCGCCCAGAGGAGTGTCGTCCACGACGTGCTCTAAGATGTGCCTCTGGCGCCGCAGGTACTCCGGATGCCAACGGATGCCCCACACCTCGACGGAGCAGTGACGGAGTAGGGGCTACTCCAGCCCCACCAGTCCAGGCATGAAGGTGGACCCAAAGCGTTGGGAAGAAAGCAGCTGGAGTTGGGAAAACCTTTGGTCACAACCTAAAAACGCAAGCTTGCAGAAATGATGATCATGATCAGCCCTAAAGCAAGCTACACTCCCAATCCGCTTGAAGGCTAGCAGCTACAGTTACTGGGCCTTGGAACAGGCATTGCGGATCAAGTCATTCCCAGACATGTTCACAACAAAAGGGAAAGTTGGATCCAATCCAGGGTACTCCCATGATAGATTACCCAGAAAAGGTGTACCGCAACCATTTGCTATCGCATTGACGCGATCAGTATGGGTCGGAGATGGTAGGAGCATCTTGCACCAATATCAACATGGGGATCAAAGAAATCAGCAGTCTCATGAGATCTTATGAGGCAGGGGGAGCCTTTTGCCATGAAGAGAAGGTTTCTGAGCGTGATGACTCCACAACACACTGCCTGAAAACTCCAAGGTGAAAAGGATGTCAGGGATGTTGGAATGGGAATCCAAGGGTTGAATGTTGACTGCTGAAGATGCCCACAGACTGAAAAGAGTTGATCATGTCATTTTGACGTTGATCTTTTCGGTAAGGAACACGTCGTGGCTGGGTTCAGCCAGCTTCCACTCGACCTGCAAAGTCTGCCGGGAACTACAAGGCTACTACAGCGTCGGCAGGATGAACACTGGCAGAACGGTCACCAATATGGGACCGCATTGCTCAAATGAACACTCAAACCAATCCAAAGCCTCGCTCCTTCGTGGTGGTTTCGACCTGCTCAGGGCCCAGTCAGGGCTAGCAAAAAGTTTCAGGTGCACCGTAAGAGAGTGACTGAGGGTGGGGAGACAGGGGTTCTAGCCCACCAGTCGAAGATTCAGCCTCTACCCAAGACCAAATTGAAAGAATGAGCACGTAGCATATTCATATAATATAATATCGCACAACATAGTTTATGAAACAAAAAAGTGTAACATATATATATTATATAATTCCCATTGCATTCCCCATCGTCCATGATCCTAAATCATCCTAAATCACCCATCGACACCTGGCGGCGTCTCCGCAACGGCGACCTGGACCGCCTCTTGGGAGGAGTCGGCGCGTGCTCCACACCCAGCCGCCGTACCGCGCGGGCGGCTTCTCCGGACTGTGCCGGAGAGGTCTGTCGGGGATTCGGTGAAGTGGCTGCTCTCTGAGATTCCTCAGTGTGAGATGACAAGTGTTGAGTTGTGTTGAATGGTAAGTGCTGCGGTATTGCGAAAAACAAAAATTTAACTAATTGCGAAAGCCAGCCGGTAGTCAACTATATAACTAACAGACCACTCATGGCAGCCGGATGCAGCCGGTCTTTTTCTTCTCTACTATTCAGTGTCGTCGCTTCTTTCTTGCAGGCTCACCACCTTTCGGGTCCTGCCAGAGCTGACATAAGTGAGCCAGCACGTAATTGGGAGACCTGGGTGGTCTGCAAAGTTCCCGGGTGGTGTCTCCTGAAATAGTTGCAAAGACCTGCCCCTCCTTGTTTTGAATGCAACAACAAGCACATCCCGAGGGGTCTTTGCAACTCGGGGCTGTCTGTGGAGTTCCCGGATCGCATTTCATATAGTTGCAAATGCTGTCTATCCGACAATCCTTGGTCCCTCAAAACCTGCATTCGTGTTCAGCCCATACTGAACAGACAGTGATTCATTTTCGCAATTACAAGATTCACTTTCGGTCCTAAATCTTGCTTTCGTCTTTAAAAAATGACTTTCGTCCTTAAGAGGTACCCTGGACTGGGAACAAAATCTAGAGGCTATCCCCCAGTATGAGGCTTGAACCTGTCAAAAGTGCCAGCTCATCAGTTGCCGCCAATGGGAAAATTAGGTCGGATAGGTCTTGTCCAAAAACACCTAATGATTTCATTTGGGTTCCCTTGGCACAAAAGAATGTTAGTTTATAATCTACTAGCTTCTTGTTACTACTAGTAAGGCACTTGTTACTACTAGCGTGGCACTTGTTTCTACTAGCTTTACAGTATCATCTATACTCCAAGGGGCCGAGAGTGGTGCGTCATCCTTGCAGTCCTTCTGCTGCATCAAACTCACCTCTGGGCGCTTTTGCTTCGGACAAGTTCGTGGTGAACTTGGTGATGATTTGGTTGGCTTGGAAGCACTGGATGGCGAGGTTGTCTCCAATCCACGCCCGGAATCCGCTCTTGCCTCCGCGGCCAGCAGCTCCCTCTCTTGTGCTTGGAGAAGCCTTCTGTGAAGCTCCTCCGGGTTGAAGGGCTGGTGATCCCTTACTTTTTGAGGCTTCTCCTCAATTGGCCAGCTTGATGTTCAAAGCAAGCAACCCTCTCGGACGTGCAAAAGAAACAACTTCATCTTTAAGAGCCAAGTACTCAAAAGTGTGATGTCTCTTTATCACTTCGGGAAAGTTTAAAGTGGGTCATATGAAGGGCCTAACAAATGTTTCAAGCGTCTGGAGCGTCTGGCGTGGGACTCCGCATTCCAAGCCTGTTACTCGCCATGGCGATGCCCATCATCATCCCACCCATCATCATGGCCATGCCCTGCATGGCAGGGTTCATCTGCAGATTCATCGCGGCACACGCTCTGCAGGGCCCTCCCCCATGGCGCACAAGTGCTTTGAACGATGTTTCTTTGCACCGCTCTCAAGACTGCATGGACGCTACTAGGGGCTCCCAATTCCTTTGGGGTGTGAAAAAAAAGGCTTTCAGAGGAAGATGCACATTTGGTGGTCATTGGCTCTGTACCAAGTGAAGTCTTTGGGATACACATGTTTGGGCCATAGGCCATATCAACCTTAGGCTGGAACATGCTGGAACATCAAACCCACTTCCTGTTGAGTCTCACGCCCAGTTTCGAGCAGGCAACACCACATGCAAATAGAATGGTTATCCAAGTGCAAACTGCAGAATGTGCCATGTGGGGTAGTGAGAGAGAAAAAAAAAAGCATCAAGTGCAATGTCCCGAAGTCATCTTATCTGTTTTTACTCTTATCACTTTCTCATGCGGTGGGCTCTGTGTACTAGACATCTGAATTTTCCAGATTTCTGCGGGTGGTGTGAAAGCATCCTTGGTCGAAGGTCAACAAATGCCATCTTTTCCTTTCATTCGTATTCATTTCCTTTCATTTCGCAATTGTTTCCTTTCATGTTCTTTTCACTTTGCATTCATGCCCTTTCAATTTCCATAGTAAGCGCTGGTCCTGGAAGACTAAGCATTCCAAAGACCGTGCGACCCCAAAACATCAGAAAACAAGGCATGACCAGGTCTTCAGGCGATCCTAACTGCTGATCTGCCTTCTTAAAAGCACCCGGCGGCCCTGCTACTACATCCTGCCTGGTGCAATGAGGATCGCTCCACGTGAACCTCCAAACGACCATCGACGACCGGTCCTCCACAAATACTTTGCGCTCAAGCTCCAGATGTTTCCGTGTCGCAAACTATCGGAGCATGTACTCTAGAAGTTACCATTGGTTTCGGTCTGCAGTGGTCCTTGAAAGATCCGGGAGCATTTACAAAGGAGTAGAAAGTCTTGTCATAATATTGGGTCTATCCTAATAATTACCTGTAACAGTGGATGATGGTGGTTAGTAAAGGCCTTGTTCAAAACTAGTAATACTTGTTTACTGACTGTTACAGGTAATAAAAATAGGACAGACCCAACATACATATATATATATATATATGATTATATATGTCCATACCTTTTTGTACAGAGTCTCGCCGTCGTGACTATTTTGCGGGATTCTATCATGAAGCACACCCACCTTAACCTTGTAGAGCACATAGCAGACCACCAGAACACGTGAGGTCTCCGTCCAATAAGGTTTACTTGGTGCTTAGAACTTCAAAAAATCTCTGCCGAAGTTGGAGCTGATCCTCCAAGCTTCTCTCTGAGAATAGTCTTCAATAGAGGGAGGACCCTGTTAATCTTTGATCCAATCTCCAACCCGCGCTACCCTATCCAAGCTGGGCTGGCCTCTAATCCGCTTGTTTCGGCTTTGCGTGCGTCCACATCAGCGTTGAATCGCAAGAGCTCAGCCACCACCTGGCACACCCACTGTCAGTGAGGTTAGGAGGTGTATCAGTTTCGTATCAGTGCTTTTGTCTGTCACTGTCTACTCTAGCTTTTGGACCCTGAAGACTGGTTGGTTTTGAGCCCCTGCTTGTGGCTCCCATATGTTAAAATGCAATTCAAAGTAGATGTTTCCGTTTACTGCTGCGAAAGATGGCTGCATTCCCCACGACAAGCGCATAGTGGCATAGTGCTCTGTGGTACTCCCAAGTTGTGTTACACCCAAACTCCCCAACTGCTGGATGAGACTAGAAAGCAAAAATTGCCTGATATTGCCTGTACCTTTTTTGTGCCAAAAATTCTATGCAATACCTCAGGCCTCTTACTTGACGGATACCAAACACCAATCAACTTGATTGTGAGGGCATTTGTTTCACCCGTCTATGGGTTCTTTTCCCTCAGCCTCTTGACGTTTCTTCAGCACGGCTTGATGCAAGGGCCGGTGACCCTGCAAGTCCGGAGCATTGACCTCGGGCGAATTAGCAAGAGCGAAGACAAAAACAGGGAGGTACCAGGAATGTCCCCATAGTAGTAAGGCCAGGAGCCCCTAGTAGCGTCCTTGCTCCTAGTAGTAAGGCCAGGAGCCCCTAGTAGGGTCCTTGCTCCTAGTAGTATGGCCAGGAGCCCCTAGTAGCGTCCTTGCTCCTAGTAGTAAGGCCAGGAGCAGCTAGCAATGTCAGAAGATATGGATTGTTGTAATCGGATCATATCTGATCCATTGATAACTCAACTGATTGATTTCATGTGCATCTGTCCGGGTCAGGTGAAAATTGCGTTCAAGTTCAATCTTCACACCCTCCAACGGTGTCCGCATGAAGCTTCCCAACCATACTACTGCTCCATCAGAAAACAAAGTACCTTATATAAGTGCACTTTGACCAATATGCAGGGACATGGCATTGAAAGGGCCAAACCTAAAACTGGGATGGTATTGCAGTTGCGAGGCTGCTCCAACGTCCTCTTTCAGGAGTGCTTCAAGGATGTTCAGGACAACTTTCGACAGCAAGAACTGGTGTCAACCGAAGAATCGTTGTTTAATCCGAGTATCATCTGCCAGAGCTCTTAGAAGTGCTCGTGCCGCTTGTTTTGTTGAGGCAAAGTGTAAGGCCGTCCGCCCTGGGCGAATTCGAATTCAACATGCAATCAGTTCATGGAAAGTCGACGCTCCAGGGGTTCACCAAGTTCACCAAGCTTGGAAATGATCGATCGCCCAATCACAAGTAACAAGTGCTTGAGGGATTTGTATGGAGGTCACTCTTCTACTATATAGATGCTAGTGTGAGAGCAGGCAACGGAAACCTCAATCGTTCAGAAACAACATCCTGCCTCATCATGATCTGAACATCACACCAAAGCCCATATACACTACATACACCGCATCTCGACACCCTAGTAGCGCTGGCCTCCAACCTAGTAGCGATGGCCTCCAACCTAGTAGTGATGGCCTCCAACTCAAAGAGCTTTGTGTGTTCTCCCTCCCTCGTCACAACTCTACCTGGTCTCCTGCCTTCAAGGTCTCGCGCATCTTGTGCTGCTCCACGTGCCAAAAGAATCTGCAGCTCATCGGTAGTGTTGAGGGCGATTGGAGTCTAGAGTACTGCTAATTTGCTAATTCTCATTGGTAAGTCTGCCATGAGCGCTAAATTTGAGGGAAATCAACAGCATAGTCGAAAGCTTGGCCAAAGTAGGCAAACCAAGCTGCCTCGCCTCTTACCAGGATGTTTTGCTGATATCGACGATTGATGTATTTACTCAGAATGAGACATCCCAGCGAATCGACGAAGCGGAGCCTGGACACCCTCAGCATCCCCATTGCGCGCTGCTTGCATCAGGGCTGTTTGACCCCCAGAAGCTCCGCTGCCCATGGCTTGGCCAGGAAACGGCGGTTTAGTTCTGAGGGTCCATGAGCGAGGCTGTCAGTGCCTAACCAGTGTGTTTTGTGTTGTACAAAATATTTGCCTGACATTTACAGGAAACATACGTGTCCCCTGAGATGTTAGTTCTGGGGTAACTTATCCACACTAGTGCGAGATGCTGAGAGTCTCTATTCATAAAGATTGCTTGCGTCCAGGTAAATCTTACACTGAGGGAATCAGAATCGCGTCCTCATAGCTTTGTCTCAAAGTAAAAAGGAGCCTTCAGACCAAATTCAGCAAGTGTTTCTCCATGGAATATGTAATTGACTATTAAAAAAGGACAACTTGCTGGCGAACTTTGTCAATCCAGCCTGAAAAAGCCGGCGAACGCAAGGGCTGAACATGGTTCAAAGCATCGAGAATCGAGAGATACAGAGAAATCAGAAATCACAAAGCAACAGAGGAAGCGAACCCAGGTGGGGGCCAAAAGGAGTCGTGGCATGTCTCACATGTTGAAGCAGCATCTGTTTGCACTCGGACCACTTCGGACCACTTTGCCCACCCAAAAAGCCAAGAGTTGACGGTCCTGCTTTTGATATTGAATCAGGTCCCCGTTATCAATTACAGGTCTTTCCCAAATGAGGCTACGCAAGGAGAACTGGTTCAAAGGACTTCATCTGAAAAGGAGCAAGGCTTTGAGTTGTGCCTAGCGTGGTTGGGAAACCAAACCCAGGCCCCCAGGCCGCCCCTTCTGAGCTCGCAACTAGGGGTGGCATCATGGGGAATGCCTGGCAGCATGACTTGAACTTTACAACACCTGCAAATGAGCTGTGGCCTGCGACCCTCCATTTCAGTACGACCTCCGACCTCATTTCGACCTCATCCGCAGCTTCAGGAGATGGCCCTTGATCGGGTTCTCCCCAAAAATGAACGGATTGGTGCGGTGGAGTACTTGTGTACAGCAGAAGTGCAGACCCCTCAATACTGTGGGAGAAGTCGTCCTTCAACCATGGCATGGTGAACAAAATATGTTGCCTCTTGTTTATTCCCCCGTGGAAAACCTAAATCACCCATTGAAATGACCCAAGCTGCCAGTACATTTCTGAGCATTCAAGTCCATGGAAGCATAAGTAGATGGAAGGTCGGACACTTCGAAGAACAGGAGAACATCTATATCATCTATTTGACGTCAGAACAGTTCTATCCATGTGGAGACTACTTTCAGTACGAAACTGGGATCTGGTGTTGTGTTGGAAGACTCTTGTATGCCTGTTCCAAACAGTCATTGATGTCAGCAATGGAGGTTTGAGTTTAGGGTAGATCCCGTCTCATGCAATTCTGGAGTCAAACTGCGAAAGCGCATGACTCGTGTCTCAAAATTGCTCGTCTCTCGCAGCCGATTGGCAAAGCATCAATGTGTGTCATTTGTAATTCTCAAGGTGGGCTGTGGAACAAAACCTGCTCTGGTGAGAACTTGCACATGACATTCAAATGCCAACAAGTTCAATCCATTTTCCCTAATTTTCCCGATCACCCTGCTGTCGCGACATGAAATCGTTGAGGACCCCTGCTTTGGCCCAGGCCTTGGGAGGTACATGCTTTACACAACATCAGACGTCATTCCGTCATAGCTACATCATGCTACTAGGAACAAGTGCATCGCTACTAGTAACAAGTGCCTTACTAGTAGTAACAAGAAGAATTTAATTGGAATTGTATATAATTATGAGCAAATCATCTCTAGACGATGAGCGAATCATTCCCTCGATCGATCGGCCCGATAGATTGCACCGGGCAAGACGTTCCATGTTCGCATTGAACGATGTATTTCTATAGATCCGAATGCTGAAGAACACTCAAAGGACCAGGACCAGCGTTCAACATCATGGAACAAAGATGAACAAAGGATGCTCTGATGTTCCACGCTCGCAAGCGAGTTGATTCTGCGCACCCAAACTCTAGATCAAGGTCACTTCTCTCTCTGCATGAAACAAATCTACAGTGTCTTCTCGATGAATGCGGCAACTTCACCCCGAAGGGAAGGGACAACAGTCCAAGGAACAAACAAAAGAATAAGGTGCGGCTAAACGATGTTCAAGTGATTGTTCACAAACGATCAGAGCTGCAAATCCTTGGCTGCCGTACCATCTGCGGCATCTTCTGCTTTCCATCCTGCGGTCTCGGAGTGGGACCCGGCAAAACCCAACCAACAAGATTGATACCTGCCTTTCAAGGTAGCTTCTGTTGGTCCCGGCTCAAGGCCTTGTGATTTTGACTGCCTAACAATTGTCCTTCCCATGGACAGCACTGAAATCGAACCATTTGCAGTCAAATGGGCTTGGCAATCAAGCAGACTTCTGACCATCCAACTCATCGCATTTCCAATGTCTGTTGGCATTGCAAGCTGGCATTGACACTACCATGCCTGCCTGTTGAAGACCAACAGTTCTTGTGTCGATTGAGGTCCGCAATTGCAAGAAAAGGTTCGACTTGCAATCAACGAGCTATGTAAGACTCTCAATCGATAAAGCCAAACCACAAGGGATGAACTAAGGAAAGCAAAGGCGAACGACCAATGTCATTGGCCCAAGTTGGCATGCCATGGTACCCCATCAACACATGACATGGGGTGGAGGACGCAGATAGTCTGGGGGCAGGGTCCTTTTGCCTGGCACCTTCAAGGTGTGCCTGCAGGGCATACTTTCAGCCCTCCTTGATCCTCCACTGCCACAGGGTTTATCAAGGATGTTACAATGATTTTCCAGGGACCGACTAGAGTCAGTAGAATCAGCAAGACATATATATATATATTCATTGGAAGTGCACCACATGCCAACGTCAGAAATGACCTCAGCGATGAGGCAATGCGTTTCGAAGTGATGATGGAGTACAAAGTTGGTAGTTGCCTAAGTCGGAAAAGGAGCTGGTGACGTATGTTTGTTTTTTGTTGGTCGACGAGTGACGTATTCATCCCAGCCTTTTTGGATGGTTTATTCGTGCGACCTGGAGGTGATGCCTCGCAAGTAGATGGGGTTGGCGGGAAGGCGTTTCAGCGTTTCAAGCCAGCTTTCTAGATCGTGTGGATCTGGCAAAATGTTGAGTAGATTCAGATCTTGGATCTGAATTCCTTTTCTTGTCAAACACATGCTGTACCTGGCTAAAGCGATTTCATCACAAAGAAAGTCTCCAGCAACATTGCTCGACTTGTCTGAATACCAACCCTGGTATTCGTATTTCATCACAGCTGAACGGAACAGAATTGGCACAAAAGTCTCAAAGCTCGATCACAATAGAAACTAACAAAGAAACAAGCCCTGGCAAAGTGTTCAGCAAGTCTGGTATACCTACAGAACTTGTTTGCAAGAAGTAGAAACACATCCACCAAATGGATGCCAAGTCGACATTGTTACAGCGCCTATTCTAGAGTCCAAAGTGTTCAATCCAGCGTATCTCCAGCCTGTCGAGACTTTCGCCGCCGGCGAGGTGTAGGAGACCTGTGGCACGGTGGCACGGTGCCACCTTCCATTGCATCACAGCTGTGTTTGGATCTCTGGCAGGGAACTGGCCAGGGGCGATTCTGAGATGATCCCATCACTTCACGTAAAACACCAAGTTTCCTCTCCCTAACGTGACCCGTGACCCGTGAAAATCTGATGACTTGCACGGTTTCATGCCACAAAAGTGCCTGTCGCTGGACGGCAAGCGCTCCTGGCGAGTGACCACCAAAAAGGGCCAGGAGAAATTTGCCGCGCAATATGGTTGACAATACATGTCAACGTGGCGCCCTTCTCGGTCGAAGGTGGTTTAAGAACTGGCTGGATAGAAGAATGCAGACTGCCAATTTATGTTGTGCTTTAACGGTCCACGCCCTAGTGGCCCGCGAGAACGTTAATGAAACCACCTTCGGCAATAACTAATTTGGTTCGATTTGGTTTGCATCTTCTTCTTGTAAACGCGACGAATGGTGCTTGCAAAAAGGCTTGGGTTCAAGGTGCCCTACAGTAAAGGCTCTGTCACAATAGCCATGTAACACAGTGAAAGTGCTGTGCAAGTAGCAATTGTGCAGTGTGGAATCAGCGTGGAATACCTTAAACACTCAAAGCAGGTCAAGCATCAAATAATGAATCAATGACCACTGCATGTGCTTTGTTGTTGCTAAACCATATAATATACTGCTTCCCAAGTGACCCTTCGAAGAGAATACCAACAAGTTCTTTTGCCTGTAAACCAGTGTCAATGACGTCCCTCCAGCTATCGTAACAAGGGAAAGGTCTGGCCCTGGCCTTCTTTCTCGCACGGCGCTTTCTTCGAGGCTCCTGACAGGTCTTTCTTCGTATATACTTTGGTCCAGTGTGTCAAGTGACCTGATCCCCAAGCAAACCAAATTAAAATAGTGTCTTGGGCGGAATGGTGTCCCAGTCACAGTCTGGATGCTGTTCCGGTCATGCTTTACTACGCTTGTTCTCAAGAAGAAACCAAGGCCATGACATCACAAATAATCACCCTTGCTCCTAGTAGCGATGCCCTTTGCTCCTAGTAGCTTCTTGCTACTAGTAGTAAGGCCAGGAGCCCCTAGTAGCGTCCTTGCTCCTAATAGCATACTCCTCCTCATCCTCTGGAGGTGGATCTGGCTCTTCTTCGTCTTCGCTTGGCGGCTTTGCCTCCCAACATCTCCCAACAAACAGCATTTGCGGGCTGGGCTGCGATGCATGCTTATAGCTTTCTGTGAGGCAACAGCCAACGGGCCGTCTGCAGTGTATTTTAAAAATTTGGGATCAATGGGCTGGCTGGTCTACTTACCTTCTTCCGGGGGGTCGAACTGGGACGTCTCCCTATTCTAATACACACCCATATGAACCACCAATGGCAGAAGCCTGGCAGTTCCGGCGGCCACTACAAGGCCATCCTTGCTGAGGAACTCTCACGACTCGTGGGACACAGGCACAGGTAAGAAAGGCACAGTGCCGAACATGACAGAACTGCAGTGATTTCGTCACGGGGAGGGGCCTTTCTTGACTTCCTCTTTTTCTCTGGCTCCTCCAGCAATATACAAGACCCCACAATCAACTCTTGACTCCTTTAACAAAAGGAATCCAGTGGTGTCACAAAAAATGAAAACAATATCCCAATTTCTCTCTATTCCAGTAAATGGGTTTCTGCACTACATGCTTGGGATGACTTCCAATTTGCTCTGAAAAGTGTGTTCTTGTGGTCTTCATCATCGTTCTAGAAAGAATTGGTGTGCTTCCTTTTCTGGACTCTGGACTTTGTCTCCTGGACTTGCTCAGGCTTTTCTTCTTTCTTATTTTTCTTGCTTTTCTTTGGCTCCTGAAATCTGACTGTGCTGCAGCGGAGTACCGTACGAGACTGCTTTTCGAGCCTTGCTTGAAGCCAAACGCTACTCAGAAGCACCAATAGAATTCAATAGACGCCAACCCTTTAGCGATGCAAATTGGGTCCTCTCCAAACACAGATTCCCCTGAGTACTAACACTTGCATTGCTGCATTGACCAAGAATACAATCATGGATCTTCACCATATCCCTGATCAATCCAAAGATGAACCTTCGTCCTCCTACCCGCCGGCAGCCGCGACGTCGCCGCGAATTCCGGGGGGTCCGGAGCTTCTTTCGGGGCTTCTGGTGCCTGGAGCGGAACAACTCGGACACTCCGAGACGACCGTTGGACACACGTTCAGCCAAGGGGGCGGCCGTGGATCTGGAAACTTCTTGCCTTGAATGGACAAGGTCTTGGATGCTGTGGCAAAAAAGATTTGAGCGTTGGCTACTCCAGGCATACAATGTACTGGCTGCGGGGTGACCAACACAAAAGCCAAATGAAAGGCCAACCGAGGTTCAGGCCTAATAGGCGTAATGGACATGGGCTGCTGGGTTATTCCTTTCAAAACTGCGTCGGAAGGATGTGTTCCTGTACCTTCAAGGTGAGACTCTGTCATTCGATGACCATGAAGGTGGCATCCCAGCCCCCTGCCCATCTGGGATCGCCAAGAAGGTGGAGGTGAAAGGTGGGCCTTCTGACAGCAACCCACCATAACCCAACCATCCTTGTCAACCCAGACAGTGTAGAAAATATATGGAACGTATTATCTTCTTGAGCTGTTGTATTCCCGACTTTGACAAATGCTCAGGGAGTCTTCTGATTCCTTCTGATAGGCAATGATTCTGGACAACGACAGAAGTAAAGACCTTGAGTGCTCAACCGCAAGAACACTCGCTACCGGAGACTGGAGGTGCCTGTGGAGGTGCGACTTCAGTCTTCTTCTTTTTCTTCTTTTTCTTTGGCTCCTGTGCTCAGATCCCTTCAATGTCTTGAAAGGAGTAGCTATCATGCCCATGCAAGCTACAAGAATGTCAGAATGGCGCAAGCGTACGGATTCTACACAGGTGGCAGAACGCTCCCAGCTGTCGAAGGTCGCATCCCTCTGGTTTGGCGTCGGTGTTCTTCAGAGTAGCCCCTTTCAGTGGGTCCCGAGGTGTTCGTGCGCGACGCAAGCGATGTGCTCCTCGGCCACTGGCTCCAGCTCCGGCTTCTCCTTTACCTGAAAGGGTTCAAATGGTTGGACAAACATAGTGCCCGCATGAGCAAAAGGTCTGGATTTTCCTGAACCCGACAAGGAAATATGTTTTCCAAGTCATGGCCAGCCCTTGTTTTTGCTGCTGATGATCCAATAGGCACCAAGACTTTTCGGCCTTCGTCTTCCGCTTCTCCTTGTTCTCTTTGGTTTTAACCTGCCGGCGCCAATGTTCTTAGTGACATGGAAGTGGAACCCATTTGGAGAAGCTTCATGACTCAACAGAATTGTCTTTGAAAGCCGTTTATCATTTATCTGTGATAAATACACAACAGCATACATTCACCTCAGTCCACCTGAATCTGTTGTCTGGATTCTCAGATGGATCAGTAGCACACTTCACACACACAAAGAACATATCTTCAACTCAGCTCTTAGAGGAGTCCGATTCCAAACCGAGGTGTAGTGGAGGTCCACAAGAAGAGATGTTTCATGAAGCTAAGGTAGGCAAACAAATATCAAATCTTTCATGGAACACCCTAAACATCCTGCCTTCATCACCTCTTTCGCCTTGGCGACGCTTGTAAAAGATTGTACATCCGCAAGGTCGATGCGTCCCACAGACCAGCTCGATTCAGGCGAACAAAAAAACGGTGGTCGGGTCGAAAGTCGAAACTGCTCAGTTTTGGGATCATCGTCTCTCTCAATTTGGGGCTCAAGAGGGTTCAGGCGAACAGCATTTGATATGAAAAAAACAATCGGACATCCTTCGTCCAAAGGACTTGGCGTTGCCAGCGAATTCTGAGAAGTTCTTTCCCGGCCAGGATGTTCGAATCTAAGCACCATTAAGCACCCTTTGTTTTAGCATAGCAGATTCCTTCCTGCCACATGAGCATCCAACTATTGAATGTCATTGATTCTGCAGAAAGCTGATGCAGGGGTTAGTGTCATCTTCAAACTCCTTAGCTATGCAAGTCAAGAGGCTGCTTCAGCGGCTCGCTTTCGGGCCTGCTCCTGATCAGAAGCTCATGCTACTTTAAGATGCCAGTATGACTACTTCAAATAGGAAACACCCCAAACCTCTTGTTAAGGGGCACAAAAAGATCAACAGCTGCTGATCCTACTTTGTATCAAGCTGTCAGATCTTGGGACAGCGCAACATGGCAGCTGCGCTGCCCCTGTTACGTTGTAACCTCGAAGAACTCATGCACTGAAAGGATACATGACATATGAGAACGACTGCAAACACAACCACCATGAGCGCAACCATAATCATGACCGCAACCCCTGTAAGAACAATTCATTACCAAAATAACCAGCCAGCAACAGCAAGCAACAAATGAAACCTAAGAACAACCACCAGTAATCACACCCACAACCATAATTGCAACAACAGCAACAACAACAGCAGCAACAACAACAACAGCAGAAACAACAGCAAGAAGAAGAAGAAGAAGAAGAAGTTTGAGTAAAAACAAATGTATTAGTCTTTAAAAACTAAAGACAACCACAACAAGAGAAAATGACGTTGGGCCGCCCAAAGGCGACACCGGACCTGTCCCTTCCCCACTCCCCAGGCGACACCTTTTCAGCCCTTTCCCGGGACTTCAACATCACCTCCTGGGTCGGACAAGAAATGACCACAGATAATGTTCTTTGGGATGTTTCGTGATGAGAAGCAACAAAACAGGGGATTCCTTTGATATCTGCAATCCATCTTGAAGCATCACGTATGGTTTTGTGACGCACTCACTCTGATGCGGTATGTCCTCATTTCCTCTCGGAAATGCCCAAAACACCTGATACTGTTGCCAGAACAGGGTACAAACACTCAGGTTCCAAGAGACCTCCTGAATGATTTGACAAACATCCATTCCATTCCCCAAAGATTCGGTCGTCAGCTTTGATTCGCCTCTTTGGGCCTCTCCAAGATGGGCTCCGAGAGCTCCTGACAGTTGTGGCTCACTAGCTGTTCCTCCAACCTAAGAGCGATGGCCTCCAACCTACTAGCCTACTGGCGATGGCGGTGACCCAGGTTTTGCCAACCTGTCCAGCCGTAATTATGAACCGCAAGGACATTCAATTCTGGGCACCTTGCCACATTACCAAAGTTTGTACAATGATGCTGACGTAAGCCTCTCTGCTTAGCTCTTCTTCCACCTGCTTCCACCACCTCAATGATGGTTGGCCATGAAGATGGGCACGGATCTCAGTCCTTTCCTTTCAACCCTCCGCCGGTCGGCCCGCTGCTCGGCCTTCTCTGCTTTGCTCTTCTTGATCGCCTGCGATCCGAGGTTTTTTCTCTTGCCAGGCATTTCGTTGCAAGGATTTGCAACTGAACAAAAATGATTCGGCGCTTGGCATTGTCTCATACTCTTCTCTGTTGCGCTGCCCGTTATATATTTCTATCTTGAAAAGGGTCACCATATACTCTGTGGAAAATGCGGGCATGAATTGCCGCAGTAGATCTAAACAGCCATTGTTGTCTAGGTCGACCTACACGTCGTTTACCAATGTGGATTGGTTCAGCTATCTGGTTGATATGAGACTTGTCTGAGAGGGTCGGAGTTTGGCGAGCGTAGAATGTGTGCTGCCAATTTCCGCTTCTCATCCAATTCTTGTGAAAAAGGCTTCACTCGTCTGTGCGGTTGATCTGGGAACGCTGTCTGCGAAGCGAGTTCATATACCCTCGAACTTGTATTGCGCCTATCTATATACGTGGCTGGTAAACTTAAAATGTGCCGTAATCCTCGTAAATGGAAGGCATCCACCTTTTTGCGTAAAGACTGCGTTAAATGTATAGCTTCGAGGCTGTACAATAATTTGCGTTTGACTACAGCGTCGTGAACCAGGAGCAACCATTTTCTATTTG